TAGTTAGTCAATAGATAAATAATAAAAAAACTATATGATAGTCCTAAGTCATATACAATATAACTTGAACTAACAGTTTGGATTTATTTGTGTTTTGAGTGTGATGCCTTCGAAAGGAAAATTTATGCTTTGGGGCTCATTTGGTAAATAATTTGAGAGTCTACACTCAAAGCTCCGTGTGAATTTCACTTCAATTATGCAATCATGTGAAAAGCAACTGCACATGATTGAGTGTTCAAAGTAAACAGGCATTTGCTTTTCACATAATTTGATAATTGAAGTACCTATTTGCACAATTTTTTAAGTGAAGATTCTCAGCTCCACTAGTAAATCAGCCTCACCGTGTTATACACGGATCAGTCGTAACATTATGACCACCCACCATGACAAGGCATGGAGTACATTAGACCTTTGAAGGTATGCAGTACCCAGCATCAAGCCATCAATTGCAAATCCTTTAAGTCCTGTAAGTTTTGAGTTGGGGCCTCCATGGATTAGGCTTGCTTTTCCAGCGCATACCACAGATGGAACAAGAATAATGATGAAAACCTCAAAGTCCCAAATCATATAACTAATACTCAAAAAAGAGGAGGAGTTGCCAGTATTAGGTAATTTGACACCAAAAATTCTCAATAAAAAACCTAGCTTTGACTGTACATCCCACAAAAAATTTTGGTAAATCAAGCATAAAAATATGTGTATATCATGTCAAATGGTTATCCTGAAATAATGCAATATATTATATAAAAAAAATTAATTATAGAAAACACAGACAAAGTTAAATTATTTGGGCCAAATTACATTAAAATACATAAAGACCAACACCCTCCTGAAAAAACATGCCTGCTTATGCACTAAAATCCAAACAATGAGTTAAACCCCCAGCAGGGTATTCAAAATGAGTTAGACCCTCCAAAGAACCAAAACAGTTAATTTTGTATTATATATTCAGGATCAGTATCGTCCCCCAATTTAGGGTCAATATAACAAAAACTGCAAAATGTATGGTAGGTACTTTTGGCTGTTGACGCTGGTCAACATGGGCAACCTAAATCAATCTGAAGCTATGCAGCCCCATATACAAGAAACTGAGATGCACTGTGTGTTCTGACACCTTTCTATAAGAAACATTTTCAGCAATCTGAGCTACAATAGCTCTTCTATTGGATCTAACTACATGGGCCAGCCTTCAATCCCCAAATGCATCAATGAGCCTTGGCCATTTTTCCTTCTTTGGACCACTTTTGGTGGGTGATAGCCACTGGGAACATCACACAAGAGCTACAGTTTTGGTGGTGCTCTGACCCAGTTGTAACCATTATAGTTTGGCCCTGGCCAAAGTCACTCAAATTCTTATGCCTGACCATTTTTTTTGCTTTGAACACATCAACGTCAGGGACCGCATGGTTACTTGCTGCCTAATATATCCCAGACCCCTTTGTGGTACCATTGTAATGAGTAGTGATGGCCTTGAACATGGTCCGTTCATGTGTTTGGTGAACACATGACAGTAAGGGCGTTCGGCAGGCTGCGCTTTCACAGTACATTGTGATTGGCCAAAGCAATGCACTTGACCTGTGGTGCAATGCTTTTGCCAATCATAGCACAATTGGGTGAAGCTTGCGGTGACATTACCTCTAGCTCCCCCAATTGTTTACATCTGACTGGAAAATGTCAGATTGCGTGAGGGCTCAGCGTGTGTGGACGGGTTGGTGTGCATCAGGTTTTTTTTATTTTAGTGAGTCGGAGTCATCGTGACAATGATGGATGTATATATACGTGATTCTGCGCAGCCGTGCAGCCTTGTAGCAGTACCTTTGCTATAGGGCAGATTGCAAGTGGTTAAAAAAAAGCCCAAAAAATGGTTCCATTGTTGTAATCCATCATCAGTCACGAGAAGTACTGCTACAGGGCAGCACGGCTGTGCAAAATCACGTATATATACGTGATTTGCATTTCTGGGTGGGGGGGGTCCGAGCGGCGCCCTACCTGCGCCACTACTGGCGGTTGGGGATGTGAATCACTGGGTCCCAGCCAGCGATTCCCGGTGATCGTCGCCAACGCTGACAGGAGAGAGACCTGTGTGTAAGCAACACAGGTCTCTCTCCTGTCAGCATGGCCATGCTGTATTGTATCTCTGCACAGCATGTAAAACAGCACACAATTTAAAACACACACAACACACAGTTAACCCTTTGATCGCTGCAGATGTTAACCCCTTCCTGCTCAGTGTCATTAGTACAGTATCAGTGCTTTTTATTAGCACTGATCACTGCATTAGTGTCTCTGGGGATGTTAGTGGCAGTTAGTCAGTGTCAGAATGTCTGCTGCAGTCCCGCAGTTCCGCTGTCCCGCTATAAGTCGCTGATCGCCATCATTACTAGTATAAAAAAAGTAAAAATAAAAATTCCAGTATATATACACCGCCATTTGTAGACACTATAACTTTCACGTAAACCAATTAATATACAATTATTGGGATTTTTTTAGCAAGGACATGTAGCAGAATACATTTTGACCTAAATTTATGAAGAAATTTGATGTTTTAAATGTGTTTATTGGATATGTTTTATAGCAAAAAGTCAAAAATATTTTTTTTTTTTCTTCAAAATTGTCATTCTTTTTTTATTAAAACATGAAAAGTACAGAAGTGATCAAATACCACAAAAAAAAAGCTCTATTTGTGGGAAAAAATTACATAAATGTATTTATGTATAGCGTTGCATGACCGCGCAATTGTCAGTTAAAGTAACGCAGCACTGTATCGCAAAAAATGGCCTTGTCAGGAAATCCTCTGGAGGGCAAGTGGCTAATAAAGGACAAACTGTTGTTGTGTTTTTGATTACATTTTACACTTTTTTGGTGAATGAGTAGGGGTACTATGTACTCCATACGTATTCACAAGGGTGGATTGGGATCTGGGGACCCCCTTGTTAAAGGGAGCTTCCAGATTCCGATCAGTTGCCCCCTTGCAGACTGCCACAACCACAGCCCTATCAGCATGGGCACGTGGCCTGGTAAGCTGCAGGGAGGGGAGGGACGCTTGTTCGTCCCCCCCCCTTTCATGGCTTGCCAGGCCAGTGCTCAAAATAAGGGACTGGTAGGAATTTAGGGGGGGCCCCATGATTTCCCCCCATTTTTGTGAGGTGGGGTTCACTTTAAAAGTCCTACCAGGCCTACAGGGCCTGGTATGGCTTTAGGGGGAACCCAACGCACTTTTGTTTCGTCTATTTTACTGTGAGGTCTGGTAGCGATTGGGGGGGGGCCCATGCTGCTTTTTGCATTTTTAAAAAAAGAAAAATGTCGGGGGTACGCAGCACAGCGATCGGTGGTGTGCTTTGTCCCTCAGATACAGCAGATCACCGATCAAGAGAAAGAGCCAAAGACGTCGGCTCTGTCATGTGATCAGCTGTGTCCAAGCACAGCTGATCGCATGTAAATAAGGAAATGTAGATTATTGGCATTTCTCTACTCATGAGCTGTCACACTGACAGCTCGTGAGGAAAGGAGAGCCGGTAATCGGCATTCCTCAGAGGCCCCATCAGTGCCACCAGTCAGTGTCCATCAGTGCCAGCTGTTAATGCTCATCAATGCTACCTGCCAGTGCCCATCAGTGCCACATATCAGTGCCTACCAGTGCACATCAATGCCACATATCAGTGCCTACCAGTGCACATCAATGCCACATATCAGTGCCCATCTGAGCTGCCTTTCAGTGCCACCTATTAGTGCCAGTGAATGCCAGATATCAGTGCTGCCAATCAGTGCCACCTATCAGTGCCAGTTAGTGCCGCCTATCAGTGCCAGTCAGTGCTGCCTATCAGTGCCCGTCAGTGCTGCCTATCAGTGCTGCCTAACAGTGCCAGTCAGTGCCACCTAACATTGCCAGTCAGTGCTGCCTATCAGTGCCACCTATCAGTGCCATATATGAGTGCTGCCTTTCAGTGCCCATCAGTGATATCTGCCAATGCCCATCAGTGCCACCTACCAGTGCCTTCTCATCAGTGCCCATCAGTGCCACCTATTAGTGCCATCTATCAGTGCTGCCTAACAGTGCCCGTCATTGCCACCTAACAGTGCCAGTCAGTGCCGCCTATCAGTGTTACCTATCAGTGCCATATATGAGTGCTGCCTTGCAGTGCCCATCAGTGATGCCTGTCAATGCCCATCAGTGCCACCTACCAGTGCCTTCTCATCAGTGCCCATCAGTGCAGCCTATCAGTGCCCATCACTGCAGCCTCATTAGCGCACATCAGTGAAGGAGAAAAATCACTTATTTACAAAATTGTATAAAAGATTTTTTTTTTCAAAATTTCAGTTGTTTTTGGTTTTTTAGCAAAAAATAAAAAACCCAGAGGTAATTAAATACCACCAAAAAGAAAGGTCTATCTGTCTCAAAAAAATTATAAAAATTTCATATGGGTACAGTGGTGCATGACTGCACAATTGTCATTCAAAGTGTGACAGCACTGAAAGCTGGAAATTGGCCTGGGCAGGAGGGGGGTATAAGTTCCCTGTAGTCAAGTGATTAAAGGATTTTTTTTTTTTTTTTTTTTTTTTTTACTTTCATCAAAGAAAAATGACTACTCCTTTAAAAACAGTACTTTTTGACATTTTTTTTTTCACTTATTCATGTCCCTCAGGGCAGTACCTGAGTCCCCATACCCCTTTTATGGCCAACAACTTCCATATAAGCCTTCAAAATGGGCACTTTTGAATTTCACTAGTTCAAGTCCCATACTTGCACTGAGTTCGAAAATCATGGTTGAACTGTCGTTAGGTTCCAATGTTCAACCACAAACCGAATAGGGGGGTGTTCAGCCCATCACTAGTAATGAGATATCAATATTGTTCGCTTTACCTGTCAGTGGTCATATTGTTATGGCTCCAATATGGTCCAATATGAATTGTAGAGGCCCAATGTATTTATGAAGTTGCCTGCAAATCTGTTCTGTCAGATACTGAATAATTCTCATTCTGCACAATTTATTTCACTGCAGAAATTATTGGATCTTCAAAACTTTAACACTCTGATGGCAGTTGTTGGTGGACTAAGTCATAGCTCCATATCTCGTCTTAAAGATACTCATGCACATCTGACTTCTGATGTTACAAAGGTATGCAAAATGTTGACAAGAAACAGTATGTTTGTGTGTTTGACATTTTTTATATGTATGTGCAAACAAAGAAGACCTATTGCATATGCTATACTATATATAGTAGTAACTTTTAGTTTAGAGATGTTCATAGATGTGACTAATAGAAAATAATTGAGGAAGAGTAGCTACATATATTATTTCAGGTACTTATATAGCGCTGTCAATTTACACATATATATTGAACAATCACATCAGTCCCTAACCCTCAAGGGGTGTACAATCTAAGGTCCCTAACTTAAATTCATACATACACATATTAGGGCCAATTTAAACAGGATCCAGTTAACCCACCACAATGTCTTTGGAGTGTGGGAGGAAACTGGAGCACCCGGAGGAAACCCACGCAAGCACAAGGAGAACATGCAAACTCCATGCAGGAGGCGCCATGGTCGGGAATCAAACTCATCACCCATTTACTGCAAGGCAGATGTGTTAACCACTAAGCCACTCTGCCACCCATATATCCTGCCTGTTTTCAAAGTTAAATTCAACCAAGCAGTTACAAAAGTATCACATATTGAGCAGAGAATACATGAAAAAGTAAAGAGTAAAGTATAGGAGGAACCAAGAAAAAAAGAGAGGGGACTGAACAGTGAAAGGAGCCATCCTGTGTGCTGTCCCACTTTTCTGTAGCCAGGGGTCATTTGTGTCTAAATACTCAGGGAAAATTAACCATGTGAATAGACCCTAAGCTAACAAACAGACAAAAATGTAATAAAATATGATTTACACTTAACAACCTACTATATTAAAACAAAAAAAATTAATTAAAGTGTATGCATAGTAATATTTTTAGGTTTTAATAGAATGGAGGATAGCAGACCCTGTAGGGTATTTTTTTTTTTGCCCTTTGTGTCCTGTTACATAACTAGTAAGTTCTTAAATAGGTAAGGGGTGGAGCCACCCGGGGACATCACGCATGTGACCTCACCCCATGTGACGTTTATGATGTCACATGGTGAGGGGTTACTTGGTCCCCTTGTTAGAGGGGGCTTCCAGATTCCGATAAGCCCCCTGCCCGCAGACCCCAACAACCACCGGCCAGGTTTGTGGGGAAGAGGCCCTTGTCACTATCAACATGGGGACAAAGTGTTTTGGGGGGGAGCCCCCCTGCCCTAAAGCACCCCCCCCATGTGGAGGGCATGTGGCCTGGTATGGTTCGGTGGGGGGCGCTCGCTCGCCCCCCCCCCCCCATTCCTGACCTGCTGGGCTGCATGCTTGGATAAGGGTCTGGCATGGAATTTGGGGGGGACCCCCCACACCATTTTTTTTTAAATTTAGCTAGGGAGTTCCCCTCAAAATCCAGACCAGAAGGGCTCTTCACTATAGCTCAGAAATTCAGCTGTCACTTAACCCCTTGCTAAAAGAAAGAAATTTGTCTTTTAGTTTATTTCCCCGAGTTAAGAGAAACAATGTTTTCTTTTAGTCTCTTAAAAGAAACTAAGTTTCCGTTAACTCTGGGGAAAGTGACAGCTAATTTTATGAGCTATATTGAAGAAAAAAAAAAAAAAGCCGGCAATTGCATTTAAAAATCAGCACCAACATACACTTCGTATTGTGAAAAAAATTCATAAAAAATTTGTAAACCAAGGCATTATTTTCAATGGATTTTCATTCGTAAACCGAAAATTACGTTAACCGATGCAATTGTAAACTGAGGTATTACTGCATATCTGAATGAATGACAAGGCACCACAATGCAGATATATCATAATCTGCACTGCAGGCACATACAGTAGATGTGAATTTGGCATTATACAGTATCTGCCTGGAGTTCAGTTTTGTGGTCTATATATGCATTAATGTTACAGCATTGTACTCTCATAAATGGTATGCTTTTTCTTATTTACACATGGAGTGTTGAGTTTTGGAAACTAAGTTGGGGATGTTATCTTTTTTTCACTTTTGAAGGTCTGATTATGCCTAACACCAGCAAATGTATCTGGTCAAGGAGATAAGTTAAAGTTAAACACTGGCCTCTCATTTCAAAATATTTGCTGCAGCACTTAATTATAAGTACATCCACAATTGCAGTTTTATCCTAGTTCCACAGATACCCATTGAGCCTGCCAGTGAATTCCACCTAATGCAGCTTCCTTTGATGGTGTGGCAATGATGCTGCTCTGCTCCTAAATGCAGAGCAGTGTTGTCACTCTCATATAGGCTGTGCCTGTTTGCACTACAGTGTGATATAAAAAATGTAAAGTGGGTTAGCAACATTTTTACTATCTGGATTGGCAGTCCTGCTAAAATCCTCCCACTTTGAGCTGCAGTGCCTGAGAGAGTGAGTGTGTGAAACATAAATGAAGGAGGATTTGTTTTAGTAAGGAAGGATAAATTAATTTTTTTAATACTTAATAAGGCTTGTGCATCACAAAATAACTGGATGTGGTACTTGTTTAGACTGTCATACAGGAACCTTTCATTGTAGTTTAATACTACAGACTGAAAGCTAAGACTACACAAGTACTATTTGCAGTTTCACAAAGTAGTAGTTTCTGTTATTGTGGCTGGGTTAGATGCTCTACTAGATGTGGGTAGGAAGGCAACATTCTAATGATAGAATGGAGCTAGCTACACGTATCATCCATTACAATGAATCTTTATTGGCTACAAAATAGGGTACAGCAGATAACATGCTAACGCATTTCAGCAGAAGACTTACCAAGCATGTTTGCATAGATACTGAACATACAATTAAATAAACCCCATCCTCCCCAGGACTAATTGGAAGGACAGGTGATTACACTGTTCAACAAATTTTTATTTTTTGCCAGTTTTGGAAACAAAAGGATCCATTTCTTAATGAATTTCACATTCTGAGTTCAAATATAACAATGAAATTTGTCAATTGGCTCTAGTTTTTCTGTAAACGGAAAGTTTTCTACTATAGGGCGTAATGACTACATAATGCACAATAATTATATAGATAGATGTCTTTCCACAAATATAAAGCAAGTGATATTGACTACATAACAAAGCCTAAATGGCATAATATATTGCATAGGATTACCAAGAAAAATTATAGCCATAAGCTAAGTTGAATCATTTTAATACTTAGGATTCTCACTAGTTTTGTCTTCAGTTTGTGTCGGTTTTGCTTCTCTTGGCTTTTCTCTTGTATTCGAGGAAAGGGCTATCTCTTACAACTGCACGTGACTACACGCTTCAGGTTCTTCCTCACTTGACTCAACCACGAAGGATTCTGGTGCTTTAGGAATTGGTAGCCCCTCTCCATGAGGAACTGGACGTATTGCCGATGGAATATTTGGATAGTGCACAGATAACTTTTTCTTCTTATTTAGCCCTTTTACAATTGGAGGCACCATACAAAAGTAACAATTACTAACATGATCTGTTGGCTCTCTCCAAATCATTGGCACAGCGAAAGGCATAGATGCCTTTTTTCCATTCAACCATTGCTCCAGTGCCGTCCCACAAGAATTGCAGCATATATGTGGTGCCCAGCTCTTGTCCTGGTCTCCTATCTTGCAGCCAAAATACAAGTTGTAGGCTTTCTTAATCATTCCTGTTATCCTCCTTTTTTGTGAGATAAAAGTTATTTCACTGCAGATATAGCAGAAATTATCTGCTTTATTCACACAAGTTCAAGGCATTACTGAGTAGCCTATATAAGCATAAAACGAAATGTAAAGACGCTGTCGAACTACAAACAGCTACAGATACTGCAGCTTTTATGCACTGAAGTGATGCAATTAAAGGCTAATATTGCATCATCTCAGTATACATGCAATTTTCTATTGGTCACCAGTATCAATTGCGCAATATGCAGCTGAAGTTGCATCATAATTTTGAATGGCTTACGTCATTAGATGGGTGAATATATCATGGAAACTAGAGCCAATCAACATTTTTTAGGGTCATTTTCGTTTTCAGCACCCCAAAATTATGTAAGATTAGCTAATTTTATGCCCAAAACTTTTTACCTGTTGAACAGTGTTATTGATAAAAGCAACTAAAACATCAATATCCAGTCACAGTCAGTAAGTGAAAAAGTCCATACAAAGGTAGGAAGGCATCATACCTCGGAGCAAGATTACTGGAAAGGGGCTAATTTGGTCTGCCAGTGTAGCCTGCATTTTTTAACACAATACAAATTGAAAACTTTAATACATTAAGCCAGTTTGTTTTCTTTTTTTAGAGTGCCAGGAAGTACTGGGCACATCAGAAATATGAACATTCACTATCTTTTGCACTTTTGTGTGTTAGGACTAAGCATGAGATGACAACATGCGTGAATGTGACTATAAAAAAATGTAGCCTTTAGAATTATTATCTGATAAATGTTTTTCTTTTGGTCTGTGCAGGTGTGGAATGAAATGACAGAGCTGGTCTCGTCTAATGGAAACTATTGTAGTTATCGCAAAGCGTTTGCTGAGTGTCACGGGTTTAAAATCCCCATTCTAGGTGTTCACTTGAAAGACTTAATAGCTGTACATGTTGTTTTTCCTGACTGGGTGGATGACAATAAAGTAAACACTGTTAAAATGCAGCAGTTATATGTTACTCTCAATGAACTGGTTTCACTACAGAGTGCTTCACATCACTTAGAAACAAGTATGGATTTAATTAACCTCTTAACGGTATGTATGTATTTTATTTTACCCCAAAATTATGGCAGACTCTTGTTCTTTATGTAACATAACCAAAAGGTAGCAAAGAAAATCTGATGTCCTTATTCCCCACAAATTATCCATATACATCCACTACTTAATGGCCCTGTAATCTATTTTTCATTAAATTGTTTCCTACTATGTTTTTCTGCCTCATTATACCATCCTCCACAAGCTACTTAACCTCTCCTTTCCCGCTCACTTCACTTTGTTTGGAACAAGCAGTGCATGTTAGTTGCTGTCATGTGCACTGCTTTATGCATACTACAAATCCCATACCAGTTTCCAGCAATAGAAGAGGCAGTATAGCCACCTCTCCAGCAGCATACCTTTTCTTTATATCAGCACTAAAACCTCTCTCAGTCGTTTTTTTTTTTCTTTTTTTTTCATCTGCGGAGGTACGAAAAACCCGTAAGTGAACAAAAAACATGCAAGTGCAAAAGTGCTTTTGTCCAACCCCCGAAGGGGTAGGATCTACCGTGATCCCCTGGGGCGCAAGGCTTCTGACAGGGACAAAGGTTTCCAACATGGTCCACCTAGCCAAAAGGCCTGGCAGGCCCCTTTCCTTGTGGCTAGCCAAAGCCGACCACCAAGCACTAGGTCAGGGAGCTCACCCGAAGAGAGACCCCCCAGGAGCAGGGGAGGAAGGAAAGTAATGGCCACGCATCCTTCCCCTAGACTTCAGGGCAAGCCTGAGGACCCACATCCTCCATCCTAGTAAGAAAAAAAACACACACAAAAAATGAAAGAGGACAAAATAAATAATGAAATACATAAGTGACCATGCAATTGTGCACTGGCTAGGCCCTGAGGCCCATTTGATACTTCAGGGCCTGTGCCATCCACCATGAACTGTAATTCTATCCTCCAGTCCCTATAACAGTGGGTGAGTCATTGTGAGTCCTGTAGTAATGTAGCTATTGCAGGAAGGAACCAGAGCATGCAGCAGGGGACACAGGCATCTACCATTCGTGTAAATGTTGAATGCTAAATAGACTGGCCAGGGCTGTAGCTCTGGAACAAAAGGGAAAGTAGAAGACATGGGCTGCTGGAGAGTTGAGTACATTATCTTTTCTATTGCAGAAAAATGCTATTTTGATTTGTTTAGAGGCCTGACATGGTCTTTTATTTGTCCCATGAAAGGTATCAATTAGAAGAGTTCTTCAGACTAAACATAAAATTTGATTCCTTATTGAGATGTATTTTTAAAGTTATGTCCCTCTCTGAGAAGACATTTTCAATACACACAGTTCTCATTTTGTGGATCTTTAATCTTGCTTGCTGCACCTACATGTAAGAAACTGTTAAATAGTGCTCCCATATCTGGTGTTCACTATTGTTGGAACATTTCTCCAGCAGGTTGTACTGCAGAAGAAATCAGGAATTACACATCTGACTCAGCAATTCATGGGCACACCACAGTTCCCTAGCATAGGGCCAACTAGGGGTCCTGTAGTAGCCAGACAGAAACACCCTGTGCGCAATCAGCTCAGCCAAACCAGAACCCGGGCTTCTGATTCAACCAGTAATCCCTACCTGCTGGCCTTGGTCCCCCTTGTTCCCCTGGGCGCAAATCTATGTCCAAAAGTAATACAACATTGGAGGAGAATAAGGAGAGTCCACACCATGCTCTTTAACAAGATTCTTTATTAAAGAACATTACAGTCAGCTATATAGGATAATGGGGGGGACCCACCATGCCCAAGCAGAGGGTAGAACATATATTCTCAGCAATCCTCCTAAGGAGAAATATAATCAGTCTTACTCCACCAGGTGGGAAATGCCTTTACGCTTCCACAAATAGAGGACGCTCACATAGAAAGGCTCCTTACAGGTCAGCCCTAGATTAGAAGAACTGTTTTCTTCTTCCACAGGAAGAAGGCACACTCACTAACCCACCAACCTACTTATACAACCCATCAAGAACATTCCAGACTGACATCTTAAAGGATGGGCTGCCATCTTAAAGGATTTTATAAGAGCTTATTCACTCTTGAGTCACCTTCTTAAGAGCGATCCAATGGTGAAATGAAGGAAGGATAATTTTTGCTGGGCTGCTATGCAAAGCATCGTAGTTGTGGCATGCATATACCCACATCTGCTGCCTTTGCAGCTTAAGAGGGATTGGTTGTGGGGGGGGGGGGCAATAAAATGTGGCTCAACCACGTGTTTTTAGTCCCCCCCCCCCCCCCTGCAAGTGTAAACGAGGTATTGCAATTACTGCCGAAAGCTATTCACATTTATAGCAGTAACATCTTGTGGTGACTCAGAAGAACTACAACGGGATCTACTATTGCACTCCCCTACAGCTGTATTAACTTTAAGGCTTCCTGCACTGTAAACAAGTTAACATTTTCAACGCTCCTCATGAGTTATAAGTTAAGTATTCCCTGCATCTCCCCAACATTTCAACTTCACCAACTTTTTTTTATTGTTTTGGTTCAAGTAGGGAAAGATTAGAACCATTGTTGGGTTTTTACTGCTATGTGGAGCTCCATTGAAGATGTATTTACTGTCACAGTGACAACAATTTCACCAGACAGGAAGTTAGGGAAAATTTGCAAAAGGAATACAGATTGAAAAAAAAGCAGAAAAAGTACTAATTCGGGAGGCTTTGAACCCAAGGTTGTTCTTAAATTGAAATAAAGTCTTGAATCAAAATGAGTTTAATGACTCAAGTTAGAGTGCTCTTAAGCACAGGACAGCCTACAGCAGCATCTTTTGGTAACAATTCAGGAGAAATTGAGGAAAGAGCGTGCCCTAAGTCTAAAGGTGTTTATTAAAAACAAACACACTTTGGAGCCAGGCTGCACCGCTTCATTAAAGCTTGAAAATGGTGTGTAATGTTGCTGCTGACATCAGCATCAGGAGATACAAACCAAACCAAAGCTGTGTCTATGCTCTAAATTAGTGCATCTGGATATACAATTGACCAAACAATTGTCTTTTGTCTTTTCAGTTATCACTTGATTTATACCATACGGAAGACGATATTTATAAACTTTCACTTGTGCTTGAACCTAGGAATCCAAAATCGGTAGGTAATAGTATAGGTTTGAATTATCCAATTTTAAAGTCAGGCTGATTCTCACCAAATGTACTCTTAGATAATGTTCCTACTCAAGATGAAATAAACATTTTCAAACATCATTGCTTTTAGCACACCTCTAATATAGAACTAAGGAGGACCTTTTCTTTTAAGGGATAGGTAATTAGGAAGTGAAGCATTGCATTATAATATAAAAGTCTATTTCAAAGAAAAAATGTTTGCAAAGCCAACGCATGTCGGGGGCTTTACCTTCACCCCCTTTAACAGCACTTGACAAAATTAAGCAGTGAAACAGAGTACTTGGGCTTAAAAATCAGCTTGTAGTTGGTTATTGTTGATGATAAGGTTTGCATGGCCATCCATCAGCAGCTAGAAGTAATAGATCTATACTGTATTTCTTTTGTGCCAAAAATATCCTATAGTCTTAATAAATAAGTCAAATGTTGGTAGCATGACATCTTACCAGAAATTCAGCAAGAATTATTGCTTAAAAATCTCATATTATACACTCCAAGGAGGTTTTGTTGATGAATCTGAACATTAGCCACTTGCCATCCTAAGGATTTACCCCCCTTAATTACCAGGCCTCTTTTTGCTACTCGGCGCTGCACTATTTCAACTGATAATTGCATGTTCATGCAATGCTGTACCCAAACAAAACTTTAGTCCTTTTTTTTCCACACAAATAGAGCTTTCTTTCAGTGGCATTTGATCGCCTGTGCGCTTTTTATTTTTTGCACTATAAACAAAAAAAAATGAAAATTTTGAAGAAAAATAATATTTTTTATTTTTGGCTATAAAAAATATATAGTAAACTCAAAGTTAGTCATAAATTTAGGCAAATGTATTCTGCTACATGTTTTTGGTAAAAAATCCCAATAAGTAATTTATTGCTTTGTGTGAAAGTTATAGCGTCTACAAACTAAGGTATAGATACTGCAATTTACGTAATCTTTTTGCTATATAGCGCTGCACTAGTTTAACTGAGAACTTGCGCGGTCATGCAATATGGTACATAAATTAAATTTACGTCCTTTTTTTCATACAAATAGAGCTTTCTTTCGGTGGTATTTGACCACCAGTGCGCTTTTATTTTTGGCGCTATGGACAAAAATATTTTGAAAAAAAAAATGGGGGGGACGATATTTTCTCATTTTTGTCATAAAAAATATCCAAAAAACGAAAATGTTGTCATAAATTTAGGCCAAAATGTATTCTGCTAAATGTTTTTGGTTAACAAAAATCCCAATAAGTGTATATTGATTGCTTTGTGTAAAAGTTATAGCATCTACAAACTATGGTATAGATAATGGAATTTACACAGCTTTTATGTTCTGACTGTCCATCTCATTTCTTGAGATGCTAAAATACCAGGACAGTACAAATACCCCCAAATGACCCCTTTTCAGAAAGTAAACACCCTGCTGAGAGGCATATTGAGTTCATGGAAGATTTATTTTTTTTCCACAAGTTTCTGGAAAATGACAAAAACATTTTTTTTTACACAAAGTTGTCATTAAAATGATATATTTCTCACACAAGTCATGGGTATATGTGGAATTACACCCCAAAATACATTCTGCTACTTCTACCGAGTATGGGGATTCCACATGTGTGAGACTTTTTGGGAGCCTAGCCACATACAGGAGCCTGAAATCCAATGACCACAGCCTGAAGGTGTGTAACTTCCTCATTTCACTTCCTCACTACCCATCACAGTTTCGGAGGCCCTGAAATGCCAGAATAGCACCAACACCCCCCCCCCCCAAATGACCCTTTTATGGAAAGTAGACACCTCAAGGAATTTAAAAAGAGGCATGGTGAGTATTTTGCAGATCTCATTTTTTTGAAATATAAAAAAAGAAAAGAAAAAAATATGTTTTTGTTTACTTTCTTCATTTTCCAAAAACTTGTGGCAACAAACGAGATCTGAAAAATACTCACCATGCTTCTTATCGAATTCCCTGGGGTGTCTACTTTCCAAAAAGTGGTAATTTGGGGGGGGGGGGGGGTTGGTGCTATCCTGGCATTTCAGGGCCTCCGACACTGTGATAGGTAGTCAGGAAGTGTAATGAGAAAATAAAGCCCTTTAAAAGGCTGAAGGTGCTTATTGGATTTTGGGGTCCTGTGCTTGGCTAGACTGCCAAAACGTCTCTCACATGTGGTACCCCCATACTCGGGAGAAGTAGCAGAATGTATTTTGGGGAGTAATTCCACATATACCCATGGCATGTGTGAGCAATAAATCATTTAAGAGACAATTTTATGTAAAAAAAAAATATTTTTTTTGTCATTTTCCAAAAACTTGTGGTAAAATAATACATTCTTCTATTGACTCAACATGCCTCTCAGCAAATAGTTTGGGGTGTCTACTTTCCGAAAAGGGGTCGTTTTGGGTGGTGGTGACATTTTATGCCCAGTATTCACTCTTCTAACCACCTGAAGACCAAGCCTTTTCTTACACTGAAAAAAATCTGTATTTTTTGCTAGGAAATTACTTGGAACCCCCAAACATTATATTAATTTTTAAAGCAGACACCCTATTGAATAAAATGGTGGGTGGTGCAATTTTTTATGTCACATACTACTCGATTTTTCAAATGCAGGTTTTTTGCAAAAAATACACTCTTTTACTTTTAATGCACAAAAAGCCTTTACAAGCTACCATTTTAGATTTACAGAGGAGGTCTAGTGCTAGAATTACTGCCCTTGATCTGACGTTTGTGGCAATACCTCACATGCATGGTGCAACCGTTGTTTACATACTGGCACAGGGTCAACGCTCGTGCCCGTAGGTGTGTGAGGGGGCTTTTTTTTTTTAAGTTATTTTCATTTTTAAAATTAATTTTACACTGTCCCTTTCATGTTTTTTTCACTTTTAATGCTATCACAGGGAATGTAAATATCCCCTATAACTTCAATGGGCATTGCCATATATTCATAAATCTGGGGTCTATCAAACTCTAGATATCTCCTTTGCCCTTACATTATCTAATCTCAACCAAGATCGGTGTGATCAGATGCTTTCCCAATTTACATATTGCGCTGTTTATATCCTGCGAAACTGAAGTGATGAAATGCTCGTAGCTTCCAATTTCTTAGACTATAGAGATGATTGGCACCATTCCGGTCTCCAATTAGCTCTATGGTCAGCTGACAGAAACACCGGCTGCATTCTCAGGTTTCCCCGATGGCACGGGACTGCCCAAGAAGGCCATGGAAGGCAGTGCGGGAGGGGGAGCATCGTCTCCCGCTGCTTGTAAAAGCAATCCTGCAGCTAAATAGCCACTAGGATTGCTTTTACATGAAAGCTGATCGCTGGCTGAAAAAAATGATACCAGGATGATGCCTGCAGCTGTAGGCAGTGTCCTGGTGTAACCATTCAAAGTCCAGTGATGTACCAGTACGTTGCTGGTCCTTGTTGGGTATATATGCTATGTTCTTTTTTTTTTTTTTTTGTATGCAGCCTGTGGGCTGAATAAAAAAAAAGAGAAGAAATATCTGCCAGAAAAAGTGTGTGGTATGCCCACCATTACAATATACTACCCTGTATCCACCCACTTCTAATGGTGGGCACACATTAGGTCGCACGGTGCCACATGCGCCAATTCCAAGATTGTACAAATTCCCACGTATAAGTGGTACCCCATATGGATAAATGATGACACCAAGTCTCAAACTATTTTGCCACTACTCCCTATGTAGTCTGGGCATCCGGAGGGCTCCACCCCTTGTAAATCCGAAACTTATATGTATAGCCTGTTGCCCTCTCACAGGTCTTATACATCTTGACCCTATATCTGTCACGCTTTCTGGGTACAAATAGTTTTAATGCAAGGCGACCAGAAAAAACGAACGCAGATATTTTGCTGGGTAGTATAGACATCTGCAAATTTTTGGTTAAGGTGATTTACAAGGGGTTGAATTTTGTGGAGCCAGTCATATTCAGGGTCACCCTGAGGATGACAGAGTGTGTTGCCATTGAAATGCATAAAACACAATATACTCTCATATCTATGCCTGGCCATGGCAGCAGAGAACACGGGCATATGATGAATCGGGTCTGTGGACCAATACAGCTGCAATTCATTTTTTTTAGTAATGCCCATGTTGAGGGTTAGGCCCCCCAAAAAATTTAATTTGATAGCCGTAATGGGTTTCCATGCGAATGGTTTGGCAAGGTTTGAATTTGGGTTGTCAGCAATAAATTGTTGTGCATATAAATTGTTTTGATCCACAATCAATGCATACAGATCTTCCGTGAAAACAGCTCCAAAAAGTCAAGGGAAGTAGTTAAATTTGCTGTTTCCATCTGAATTTTGGGTTGGGCAGTGAATGGGGGAAGGATGGGTGCTGATTCTGCAGTTTTGTGTGCAATATATCAAGTGACAGTGACCTACTGTCACTGCACTTGCTGGGGGTTAAGGGTAGGGCTAAATGCAGGTGCTTGCAGGTGCCAGGGCTGATGCCACTAATGCTGCATTTTTTGAGACACTGTACTAATGTGAACGCTGGTATAGTGCTGATCTGATCAAAGATATTGATCCATTCAGACACTATACTAGCAATGGAGGTTTATTGTGTATGAGTGTGTTCCTAGCAATCAAGGGGTTATATGTGATTACTGGTGTACTGATGGGCAATCTGACGCTATCTGGAAGGGGCATGAAAACCATTGGAGAGTGAATCACATATATATATGTGATTTTGCACACACGTGCCGCCCTGTAGCAGTATTTCTGCTTTAGGGCGGTCAGGAAGCGGTTACAGAAGCGGTTTATGTTATGGCGCTGTGTTACTTTAACTGACAATTTCGTAGTCATGCAATGCTGCACCCAAATGAAATTTATGTCCCTTTTTCCCCACAAATTTAAGATTTCTTTCGGTGGTATTTGATTGCCTGTGTGTTTTTTATTTTTTATGCTATAAAAAAAAGGACTGACAATTTTGAGAAAAAAAACAATATTTTGGACTTTTTGCTATTAAACATATCCAGTAAAAAAATGTTAAAATCAAATTTCCTAATAAATTTAGACCAAAATGTTTTCTGTGACATGTGTTTGCTAAAAAAAAATACCAATACGTGTAAATTAATTGGTTTACGTGAAAGTTATAGCGTTTACAAATTGCGGTATAGATACTGGAATTTTTTTTATACTAATAATGGCGGCGATCAGCGACTTATGGCGACGATCAGCAACTTATGGTGGGACTGCGGCGGACATTCTGACACTGGGGGGAACTGACTTGGGGTTACTGACATCCCCAGTGACACCAATACAGTGATCAGTGCAAAATAAAAAGTACTGACACTGCACTGGGGAGGAAGGGGTTAACATTTGGGGGCAATCAAAGGGTTAACTGTGTGATGGGAGTGTTTTACTAGGGGGCAGGGGTGTGTGCTTCACTGTAAGCACACTGATCGGGATAGCTGTGCTCAGCCATCCCGACCAGTGTGCCCAAACTGACAGCCCTCCTCCCTGTCAGTGATAACCGGTTATCACCGGGCTCCAGCAGCTAATCACCAGCCGGGACCCGGTGATTGACACCCATGGCCATGATTGGTGTGTTCATGATGGCCGCCAGTGGCGGCGTGACGTCAAGACACTGTAGCCCCTTACACTGACGCATTTCGTGCGAAGCACTTAGTCATAGGGTGCAGGCTATGACTATGGCGGCCATCCTGAACACATGGTCAGTCATTTTCCTTTTTCTCCTTGATTGTATGCACCTTATCTGGAAATAAAACTCCCTGTTAAACGCAGTATCACGCTATGTGGCATCATTCTTGGGCTCTCTGTGAGTCTCGCTATTCGCAGAGCCCGTTTTAGAGGTGACCTGATACAGTGATACCAATTGAGGGACTTTGAAGGGAACAGGAACAGGAACCTGACCATACCTGGGAGTGATTGATCTGGCTGACCTGATGAGACAAAAGTGATCTCAAATGTGTGTTTTTAGTGCACATCTGGTGAGTGCGCAATTTGCTTATTTCCAGTCACACCATCTGTCACTCCTGATCTAGAGGAATTGGGCACTTTTAGCTGAGATCTGCTATGATTTTCAAGTTCATTGCTTGGACTTTCACATACTTACCACTATAAACACTCATTTGTGGTCTTTTATGTTCTTTTGCACCTTATATTTATTGCATCTATGGTGTAAGGTTGTGATAGTATTTGCATGATTTGTACTTTATATGAATTAAGATTTATATTTTGAATGTATCTGCCGTGACTCACCCAGGGGTAGAGGCGTTATCTCAGACTTATACCGCTCTTTTTCATGTACCATTTATCCATCACCACCCTCCTATAGATTGAAAAGGGAAATTGATTGTAACATAACATTCTCAGATGAAGACTGGGACTCCATGTTGGATAATATGCATAGGGGTTCTAGATCCCTTTCAGTCCGTGAAACTGCCCTTAAGTTCTTAACCCGTTGGTATTTCACTCCCTCTAGATTACATGTCATGTTTCCGGGGATGCCGCACCTCTGTTTTAGGTGTTGTAGCCTCGCCGGAACTCTTGTGCATACGTTTTGGGCCTGCCCTGGTCTTTCTTTGATCTATATAGGATATCGGAGGTGGCCTCTGCCCTGGTGGGTTCCCCGGTAGACTTGTCACTGCAAATTTGTTTATTGGGTGCACACATTTTAGGGATTCCAATGAACAGAATGAGGCTCATCCATACTATTTGCATTTCCTCTCTATGGGCCATTGCCCTTCATTGGAAGTCCCTGGTGGTCCCTCTGGCCTCCATATTGCGGAGAGTTGATATGGTCATGCTCATGAAACGTATTCAATACACTTTATTGGACAGGATGTATTTATTTAACAGTAAATGGGATGGTTGGAAGGTGCATCGACACTTAATAATAGATTAATCTCTGTTGTACCATTTTTTGTCAATGATTCTTTTCAATTATGCGGTTGATTTGACTACAATGTTGACTACCTCTTTCATGTACTTGATCTTTAATTTTTGTGTGACTGTTTTTTTTTTTATGATAAATTCTTTATGTGCCTTTTTCTCACTGTTCGTTCTACCTCATGTATGATGTGCAGTTTTGTGGTTCATCTTCCAATAAAAACGTTTGTAAACAAAAAAAACTCATATTAAATGTCTATGAGAAAACAACTAATACAAAAATGCCATATTTCGAAAGCGGTTTGATTGCCATTTCTTGTTAAGTGATAATGTGTATTTCTTTTCATCCTTGTGTTACTTACAGCCAACTTCCCCTACGACTCCCAATAAACCGGATGTACCCCTTGACTGGGCTTCTGCAGTGACCACAAAGCCTGACCCTACTATTATTAATAAGCATATACGGAAATTAGTTGAGGTAAGGTGACAATTCTTTCTTTTTGTAATGTTCCAAATCTTCTGGCCATGTTTGTTAATAAATACTTTTCCAGAATTTCATAGAGTTAAACTTTCCTGTTTGCTGCATAAAAATGAGGCTCTTGATTCATTCAGTCTACCAGGAAAAAATGGACATAATCATAACACAGTTAAATTAGGGAATTGGTCTCTAATGATATATTGGAATAGTGCAATGAACTTTACCATCATAGAGACAACTTTTTCTCCTGTCAGTAGAAATAATAGTTCATCAATCTGCTGAACTGTGGCAGCAATGCTAAAATAACACACTCTCTTACTGTGTCCAAATCTTAAGCTTCAGAACAACAGGGTGGTTATAACAAGAGTAGTAAATCTATAGGTCACCTGGAGAGTCCTGCCACCAATACGTATGAGCATACCCTGCTATTGCAAACATTTCAGTTTTTGGATTCAAATTCACTCCCTCCTTTCATTCAAGCTTGAATTCTCTGATCCTGCTTCTATTCCTTTCATTGGATAGAAATACTGTTTGTTCAAAAATCATATACTTGCTTTTGATTAGTGGTTAGAATACTGTTCTTTGCTCAGTATGTAAGTTTGTTAACTGAAAATTAGTGGTTGAGGATTTTATTTATTTATTATAGGTACTTATATAGTGCCATCACTTTTCCAGCACTTTACATGTATATTGTGCATTCACATCAGTCCCTAACCCTCAAGGGCGTACAACCTAAGGTCCCTAACTCACATACATACACATACTAGGGCCAATTTAGACAGGATCCAATTAACCTACCAGCATGTCTTTGGATCAGTTTTCTTATTCATATATGTTATTTCTTTTACAAATAAACATTTAATACACCCATAACACTATTAGCAGAGCATTCTAAGCTTTCTAAAGAGAACAAAACATTAGGTTTTCTGACTGGGAAGTTCTCTCTCATACCCATCTAAAGAAAAAAATAAAAATATGTTTAATATTTTGGTTATAAAATATGATTAACACATCAAGAAAATATGGTTAAAACACTGTGGGGGGGGGGGGGGGTTTACTAAAACTGTAGCATGCAAAATCTGGTGCAGCTCTGCAAAGAAACCAATTAGCTTCCAGGTTTTATTGTCAAAGCTTAACTAAACAAACTGAAGTTAGAAGCTGATCGGCTACCATACACAGCTGCACCAGATTCTGAGTGCTCAAGTTTTAGTAAATCATCCCCTATTTTTATCTTAAATGTGGAAAAACTTCCAATCACCCAATCTTACAATGTTTACTTAAATGGTAAAGTTCTACTAACATGTATGGAACAAACTCAGATCATTTTTAACCTATGACTCAATCCTGAGTTAAATGCATAATGTATGGTAATCTGACAATATCAACATTGTAAAGAATTTCCAATTCATTATTCTTCATTAGTGAGAGGGAAAAAATAAAGATTAATATGGGGGTTATGTTGTTCTGTCCTTTTCCTGTGTATATTTTTATTTTATTTTGGTGTTACTGTATTTTATTGGAAAACACAATAAAAATATCTTTAAAAAGTAGAATGATAAATAATGCAGTGGTCCTGCATTGTATAAATATACACCAAGGGACCATCCACATACTGGGAGAGTTAGACAGTGGAGGATAGCACTGTCTGATGGTGAGCAGATAATGAAAAAAAGCAATTCACATCCTGATCCCATAGACAAAATGAGCAGTTAACTCTTGCAGCGCAAATGAAGGAAAAAAGCGCCTCTAAGTGCAATATGTTGGACATTTATTCTGGAGCAATAAAAAGACACTCACAAGGTAAAAGGTATAAAAAGCTCATTGGTATAGTGAGGTAAATGTCCCAGTCCTTGCTAAGTGAGCCATGGTTGGTGCTGGAAGAGACTGTAGGTGGTAATGGCCAGCCAGCGTGTGTTGGTCTTGAAAAATGGTTGATGGAAGTCACCCTGGAGGGCAACATCGGCGACAGTGTGATGACATAGGCAGGACCAGCATGCAATGCGACACGTTTCAGAGCATACGCGAAGTCACTAGAGGGCAAGCGTGCCACTTTATCAAGCATGGGATGATGCAGTAATGGGGACATTATGCATATATATATATATATATATATATATATATACAGTTGCAAAAATGTTAGCATGTGCCAGAGATTTCTGTAGGTCTTTAGCTGACACTCTGGGATTCTTCTTTACCTCATGCAGCATTCTGCACTGTGCTCTTGCAGTCATTTTTACAGGACGACCACGCCTAGGGAGAGTAGCAACAGTGCTAAACTTTCTCCATTTGTAGACAGTCTGTCTTACCGTGGACACATGAACATCAAGGCTTTTGGAGATACTTTTGTAACCCTTTCCAGCTTCATGCAAGTCAACAATTCTTGATTGTAGGTCTTCTGAGAGCTCTTGTCTGCGAGGCATGGTTCACATCAGACAGTGCTTCTTGAAACCAGTAAACCCAAAACAGGTGTGTGTTTTTTAAGGGTAGGACAGCTGTCAGCAACACATCCAATATCATCACACTGATTGGAGTCAAGGTTGGCTCACTCCTGGCTCCAATTAGCTGTGAATGTTTACATGTTATATGCAATTAAACCATGGCAACATCTAATGTTTGTGTAGTATTATGTTCAGCAGACTGTGTTCTTCTATTGTTGTGACTTAGATGACGTTCAGAGCACATTTTATGCCCAATTCATGCAAAACTCCACGTAATCCCAAGGGGTTCACGTACTTTTTCTTGCAACTGTGTATACAGAGGGTACACCAATGAGCATTACACAAATTAGCAAATGGACAAATAAGCTTATAAATAGGGTGAAAAAAGGAGGAAATTGTAAGAAAAATAAAAAATAAACACGATAATAAATAATGAATAATAATGAGAAGAATGAGAACATAAGAAAAAAAATATAAGAAAAAATAGAAAAATAAAATAAAAATAAAAATAGAAATAACAATAAAATTAAAATTAAAAATAAATATAACAATAAAAATATATAAAAAAAATAAATGTAAATACAATGCATTAGTCATTCGGAATAAAGAATAATAAATAGTAATAATAATAATAATGATACATCACGAATGTTGTAAAATTAACAAAGTTGTAAAATTTATACTATGATATTATAAAAAAAAAACCTCCATTAGAATGAAGGATAGTAAAAATTAAAAACCATATATATAATGTGAATGGCCCATATGTAAAATTACATTATAAGATTGTGATGTTTTATATTTATTTCTATTTTTATTTTATTGTTTCTATTATTTTTTTTCTTATATATTTTTTATTGCACTTAGAGGCGCTTTTTCCCTTCATTTGTGTCTTTATATAGAGCCTGCTACAGCTTCAAGAGCTTGCCCCTGTGCTATGTGGACTCACTTATTTTGAACTTTACTATGAACTTTTATCATGGTCTCTGGCATTATGGTTTGGGGAATTTGTTTGCGCTGATTTCTGGGGTTTTTTTTGTTGTTGTTAACTCTTGCAGTGCAGAGGCCCAGAGTTTCGCTTTAACTTAAATATACCCCTAAACATATACTTAAAGTAGCCCCTAAAATATCATCTTTAACCTAGACATCCTTCCTAACATATCCTTAAGCTAGGCCATAAACATTCATAAGTAAACCCCTAAACCTATTATGATGGAAAAAGACTATTGTGGTGACATAGTGCTAATGTCACTATAGGATCAACATTTCTGTAATGCCGAAAATTCAAAGGAAAAATTTAATGATCTCTTTTTAGATACTGTGTTACTGCCCCACCCGCTTGGCTGGAATTACGTGTTTTTTCCAGTGTGTTGTTATCTAAAAATGTATTGTAGGGATGATTCCTAATGCCTATTTAACAATGTTTTAAAAGGAACAGAGACAAGCTCACAAGCATCAGTTTTAACAGTGCAATTGTTTACATGTTAGAAATCTAGAGAAATTCTTCAACATGTTTTAGACACCTATGTGCTTCACCTCTAGCTATGCTGTACTGCCTCTTTTTATTATTTCTTTATTTCACTGCTTCTTTTTTACTTCAACATTTCTGTACATTAAGATCTTTTGTTCCTTAGCTCTGGTAAGCTGTAATTATTTTACAATTAAACATTATTGCTTTCTTTTTTTAAAATGTATACTTCCTACTTCAGGAAACTCTAAGTCATAGTATTTAAAAATGTCATATGGAACATTTTGTTTTAACAATTAAGTCAAATGTAACATTCCTGAATAAATATGACAAAACTTGATTTAGTTGTCATCAACAAATTGCTTGTTTTTTTAATATTTTATTGTATACATTATTAAGTGATTTTTTATATGTATAAATGTGTTTCAGACCATAGAATGTTTATAAAGCAACAGATAGGCACAATTATATGCAACAGCATTAGTGAGTGCAATATCAATAATACAAATAAATACATAAATACCACAAACATGTGCATTGATATACAATCGTGGCCAAAAATATTGCCACCCCTGCATGTCAGTTAATGTACTACTTCACTCTGAAAATTGTTGCAATTATTATTATTATTATACAGGATTTATACAGCCCCAACAGTTTGCTCAGCGCTTTACAATATAAGGGAGACAGTACAATTACAATACATTTCAGTACAGAAGGAAAGTGAGAGTCCTGCTCATGGAGCTTACAATCTAAAGGAAGGGGAGGTGATCTAAAAGGTGATAGCTGCGGGGGATGATCTGGTAGAGGTGATTCAAGTACAGTTCTTAGGTAGAGGTGGGGTAGGCTTCCCTGAAGAAGTGAGTTTTCAAGGATCGCCTAAAGGCAGACAGGGTGGAGGCTGACCGGACATGCTGTGGTAGGGAGTTCCAGAGGATGGGAGAGGCTCTGGAGAAGTCCTGGAGGCGAGTGTGGGAGGAGGTGATGAGGGAGCTAGAGAGGAAGATATCATGGAAGGAGCAGAGTGGGCAATTTGGGTGGTATCTGTGGATGAGGTTGGCGATGTAGCTAGGGGCAGTGTTGTGGATGGCTTT